GGCTTCTAAGACATTCAAAACCAGACCTTATAGCTGAATTTTAATTACTTGGTGACACTTTACAGTGTTGTAACAGTATGTGCTCTGTATGCTTTTGTCTTTTGCCATCCTGTCTTTTTTTCTTTGCCTAATTTTCTCTTACCCTTTTTATTTTTTTTGGCTTTCACTTAGATTACGTAAACTATCTGAAATTCTTTTGGTAATAGAGTATAAATTATCTTGCTACATTAAACAGATTCAGGCATCTAGATGGAGACAGTTTGTGTACAAGAACATCAAAATACAATTACAGACATCATCTGTAATATCTATAATATGGACAGACATGAATCAAGAAGGATGATGGAAGACTGGACACAGGGAACATGTCCAACATCTCACTTTGGTTTCCATAGATTGGTGAACCTGAAGAAAACACACAGCAAAATTCTACAACATTTTAAGATCTAGTTTGTGAGAAAGTAAGGATCATTACATGATAGGATAGCTAACTTCCCCCCCGCCGCCCTGTCCTCCCCCCTTTTTTAGATGGGAGGGGATATAGGTTGAGGCTAAAACTAAATTGGGAGGCAGAGGAGGAGTTATGTTTTTAGGTCTGCCACTGATCAGCTGGACTGAGACTGAGGAGTCCATTTGTTCCTGAACCTCAGTTTATTTGTAATATAGGCAATGGATCAGACCACCCTGAAGTTTCTTAAAAACACTAAGCTGAGGCACATCAGCACGATGTGAGTTTCTGCTGCCACAGCTCAAAAATACTGTTGAAATTTTTTGAAACTGCTTCCACATCCAGTTTTATGAAGGTCTCAAAACCAGTGTGAATTTAATAGCCACATCTCATTTTGAACCAAATATGGCATTATCTAGCTTGATTCACATCGGTTTATTAACTTCAAGTGACTTGGCTATTTCTAAAACTAAAATCTTCCTCAGCAGAAAACTTGCCTCTATTAATTGTGTTTTAAATTTTAGGCAGTGCTCCAGGAAGCAATTCAAAAGTATGTTGAACAAGGGCAGCACTGTTGGCATTAGTACACAGCTAAGACTCTTTGAGACTGACTGCTTACAGAGATGTTAAATATGAGGAGACTTTAGTAGACTAAACTGATGAAATCTACAGTATGTAGGCTTTTCAGAAACCCATTTTAATACTTAACAGATACATCTCAAACTACCTTTTTCCACTGAACATTTTAGAAAAGCCTATGTTAGGACACAGATCCTCGGACATAAAGCCTTCCTTGATTGTATCTATATGGCAGATACCTGGTTCCCAAACCTGATGGCAACAGTGAAATCTAGAGATAATGAAAAATACTGATGCCTGGCTCCCACTCCCATACACTGTAATCTAACTGGTACGGAGTGTGACGTGGGCAACAGGATTTCTAAATCTTTTGAGGTGATTCTAACGGTCAGCAAAATTACCATTGTGTTAACAATGAATGTCGTACAACTCCGAAATAATTTCCAGATTATGTAAATTCTATTTCACCTATTATGACAGTGATGGTATCACTTCATCAAAGAAAGTCTTCTAAAATAAACAACATTTTCTCAAAGTTAAACATTACTACAACGGGATGGGAAGAAACAGTATCTTGGGAGAAGACAACTGTTGGTTTATAGCCTGTTTATAGTTCAGTTTTTTGATATGGAGTACTTTTTTGAAATTTATTTGCTTGAGAGAGCACGAGCAGGAGGGGCAGAAGGAGAGGGAGAGAGGGAGAGAGAATCTCAAGCAGACTCCATGTCGAGCATAGAGCTGGACACCTGGCCGCATCCCACAACCCCGAGATCATGACCTGAGCCAAAACCTAGTCGGATGGTTAACCAGCTGAGCCACCCCGGCGCCCCTGGAGTATTTTGCATTAAGCAGTCATGTTCTGTTTATAAGTTCTAACTTTAGAAGCTGTGATATATTGTGTTTAAGTCCTGAACTCAGCATTACTGCTGAGTTGCAGTGTTCAAAAAAGTTACGGTTGCTTAAAGAGTGAAATAGAAATCAAATCCGTCTCCCTGCTGCACTTGAGTTTTCAAAGCTCTGGAGGGGTAGTGCAGAAAGGCAAATCAGCACACTTGCAGAGTGAATAGTAACCTCATTCTCATTAGGACGGGCATCACTGTGTACTGACTTCCTACAGAATACTATCAGTTTTCATTACAGAGGACATGACTAACAGAGAGGCTGAAGTACAGATGATAAGTCACAAGCACAGAGGGCTTGTATAGTGAATGGGTGAAAGCGTAATACAGGGAGAAGTGGTGGTGATGGCTGTGGAACTAAAGTAGGGTTATTACTCTGGCCTCCCCAAAACAATGTGCTGTGTAGTGCCCTTAGAGTAGGCCAGGTGATTTCAAATAAAAGGAGCAAGAGATACTTCGGAAATAACCCCAAAGCCAAAATGTTCTTTGTGTAGAAGTTCAGCTGATGACTTCTTATTACACATGACTTCTGTACAGTCATCAGAGATGCCTTCTCCATAGTGAGGTATTGCAAGGTGTCAGGCAAGCCACTGGTAATGCCCCAGGTGCCCCATCCCTTACATTCCACCTTCAAGGCCACCCCTCTGGTGGAACTGCCCTTTTTTCACTGTATCAACAATCTCTGGCTTTTTCTTTCGCCTCATTTGCTTAGCCCTTCCTGCTACACTTGATAGCACTGCCCACCATATCTGGAAATGCTACCTCGTTTGTCCTGTTAATTCTCTGTGAACAGTCCTTCATTTCCACTGCTGATGCCTTTTCCTCTCCCCTAACCCTTGTCTTCACATACTTTATACTTTTCAGTCTCTACACTCAATTCAAGGTGGACCATTCCCCAACCTTTGAAGCCTATTTCAGAAATTTTTATTTTGATGTCTGTCACTTCTCACTCAGTAAATAAAGTGAACTCCTATCTAGGTGAACGCAGAGTGGTCTAGAGAGTAATCATCTGTTGGAATGGCCCAGTGAGGTGTAGGTGTCTGGAATGTCTGTAGCCCAGAGATGACTAAAAGAGTAGCAAGAGAATAAGGCTTGGGAAGGTAGGCAGAGGCCAGATCAATGGATTTAAATGTTATATGTTACACTTTGAACTTTTATGTTTTCAGGAAGAGATGCCATTGAAGAATTTATTTTTAAAAGATTTTTATTTGAGGAAGAGCACAAGCAGGGGGGAGAGGCAGAGAGAGAGAGAAAGGGAGAAGCAGACCCTCTGCTGAGCAAGGAGCCCAATGCAGGGCTCAGTCCCGGGTCCCTGGGATCATGACCTGAGCTCAAGGCAGACACTTAACCCACTGAGCCACCCAGGCGCCCCACCATTGAAGAATTTAAAGCAATTACAAGGGAGTGATGAAATTTCCATTTACAAGTAAGAGTAGAGGGAGGGTTAGTGAGACGGCAGTAAAGGTTGGGAGGATGGGAAAAAAGAAGCTACTTAAAAGGTAACGTCAATAGGATTTGGTGAATGATGGGAGGTAGGAAGTAAGATGTCTAGAATGGTTTCTTCTGGCATGAGTAATGGACTGCTGGTAGTGTCATTTACTGAGCTAAGAAGAACAGATTTTAGAACAGAGTTTGACCAGACATTCAGGAGGAAATCAGGAAATTGTAAGCAGTTAGATAAACCCACCTGAGTCTTACTACACATTTAGTAGTAAAAACCACAGGCATGAATAAAACTAACCATTAAGTTGAAGTGAAATTGTAATAGTAAACACTTAAGAGTGCTTGCTATATGCCAGGCAATGGTTCTAAATCCTTAACATATTCATTTAATTTGTACACCTACTCTCTGAAGTAAAGAAGAAAATTTGAAGAAAATCTGAAGAAAAGAGACCCACAGACAGAATCTTGCTAAGTATTAACATTAAATGGGAAACTGAAGGAGAGCAAAGCAGACTAAGAAGGCAGGAAGTAAACCAGAAGGATGTCATGGAAAACCAAAGAATTTACGTAGGCTAAGGCACAAGATCCCATGAAAAAAATGAAGTGTCTGTTTAATTTTACTACTGGATTGTTGGATCTCAGAACTGTTTCTCTTAAGCCAGAACTCAGCTACGGAAGAGAGACAGCAATAGGCTATAAAACTTGTTGGAACAAGGAGACCACAAAGGTATGAAGGGGGGAGAAGACGGAGTACAGGAGGAAGGCACCCCTGCCTCCTTCCTGAAACAGATGGGTAAGGACGGATGCCAGAGAAAGTAGATGTTCTTACAGTCAAGGGTCCAGAAATGGAGGGAGTTCATAGCTCTGGACCACCATGTTCTCTAGAAAGAGGTATACTGGTCATTCGGTTAAGCAGGGTAGTAAGGCTGGAATTGTTGCTAGAAACAGACCTAAGGAATAAATGGACAGATTGCTGATTATTGTTCACAAGCCCTAGTGAGGCTGGAATACACAGTGGCATTAAGCCATTGTTACAAGGTTCTTCTCCAGCATACCGGACACGAAAAAGCAAATGTTAAGTTACAGTGGTTTACAGTTTGGAAGGGTTGAGATTAAAAGCCGTACCACTGAGAATTTTAATCAGAAACACTCTGATCAGTATATACTGTCTACATCTGTTTCCAAACCTGGACCTTAGGTGTACTTAGAATTTCTGAGACAGAAAAATGTCTAGGTAGAGTGGTGGAGATAAGCTAGGTAGTTCTGACTTAACCCAGTTAGAACCAACTAATAATACAGTGGTGAGGGGGGAATTATTCACTCAAAATTGAAGTCTCTTTAGTTGTCCTCCATAGCACATGACTTAGATTCTTAGCAAATATGTTACCAAAACCAACACATGTCCAATAAGTGTCAATAAGCTCAGCATTTGGAGAAAGGTGTAGGTATGGTATGAGCTATCTATTCTTTGCCCTCCAAAAATATCATGGAGTATAACTAAAGAAATGAAACTATAGTGCAAAAAAGAAGACAACTGTATTAAGTGCCAAAGAAAACTGAAATTTTAGGAACTGTCTTAAAAGTAGGTAAAATTTGAGCTTAATTCCCAAATGGGATAAGAATCAAGTGAGTTTTTCTTTGAGATTTTATTAAAAAGTACCATCAGGTATGTCTGGAAAATTAAACGATTACAAAGGGTGCTATTATAAAAATCTTTGTCAACCTAAGTAGTGTCTGATCAAATGCACAACTGAAGGCCACAAAACATTAAGTATCAGTTTATTTAAATTTCTAAAAGATGTAAAAATAGACAACTTTTCTTTGTAGTAGAAAGAGCATTAAGATGTGGGGTCACAGGACCTAATTTGGTGTGAAATTAGGAAATTCATGTAATCCCACTAGTACCTCCATTTCCTAATTTGTAAAAGGGCTAGAGTATCACTTGATCTTCTTAACCCTCAAAAGGTCTGTTTGAGAAATTTCTTTAAGTGTGGCCAACATTAAAATAATAAACTCATGGTAAGTAGAACATTATAGTTCATGATAGTAATTAGAAAATAAGTGGCAACATGCAGATACTTGCCAAATATTAATGTAATGGAACAAACAGAAGGAAAATTTTTTCACACAGTAGTTGGGAAGGAGAAATAAGACTTCTATACTTAAACAGTGTCTCTATACTAGCTTTTGAATATTGTTATAAATATCACCAGAGACCAAAACACAACATAAATTTCATTTCTATATTTCAGAAAACCTACTTGAATACACTTTGAAACAAGAGTACAACAAAATAGAATATACTTCAAATGTTGAATATACAAACTATTATAGTTCAAATCTGAACACTGGTACTTTCCCTCTTAAACTTCAACTAAAAAAAAAAAAAGGAAGGAAGGAAAAAAACAAAACAAAACACCAGGTATTAGAGCTACCTGACAAAAATTCATGCTGAGCCTGAACTTCCAAGTGACAGTAGAACTGAAACTGCTATGTCTGCACAGATGCCAGGGCTAAGTGAGTGACACAGGCAGGTTACAGCAAAAGGCCAGAGCCAACTGTTAATTTGTCCACAATTAAGAAACTGACAGACTTAAACTACCATATAAAATGTTACATGTAAATTCTATAACAATACTGTGCTAGGTACAAGATTTTTAAAATTTTTCTTTTAATAAAAAAAGCTTTACACAAACAAGCCATTAGCTTATTTCAATAAAGAAAACTGAAAATTAGTCTAAGGCCTTTGTTTTAAATCAGCTTAAGCTATATGATATAAAAAAAAAATCGCACTAGGTCTTTTTTGCTATCCTCTTTCTGAAAAGCTTTTGGATCCATTTTCAATTCACATTCTAAAATACCTATATTAGCAGTCTTCACATAGCACCAGTTAAGTGAGTTCTGTGTGAACACAGTAATAATTGCTGGTATGCATATAAAATGCATCAAAAATTGCTCTATGTAACAATGAGATCACCCGTCCCAACCCCTCCCCACTGAAAACTATATAACCTCTTACAGAGTGTTAGTGTTCCAAGTCTTAGTGTAACTGGATATTGTAGTGAGTTGCTTGGTCCCTTTCAATCCTTTTCCTTATTGACGGGTTCAGTTGTTTCCTACTGTAAGAGGCAGTTTTCTGTCAGCATCTCTGTATGTAGTTCATTTCCCACTGAAACATGGGATAGGTAATTTATTTCCAGTAAGTCTGATTGTTTTCTTAGATGCGTTAAAAATGTTTTAAAGTCTTCTTTTGACTTTGTTTGATGACCTCCCTTGCAAATATTTATGTTAGTACTATCACTAACAGTCTAAAGTCCACGGTAGAGCTGCTCTTTTATTTCTCACATGTCACTAGTCCTTCCGTTTTCATAGTTACAGGAAGGGCAATAGCTGAAGGCGCACTGACAACCACTACGTGGGTCACTGTCTTACTTCCATCTGCTGGTTTTTCTTCTTGTACCAGCTGCAAAGTTTTCACGTCATGTTCCTGCTTTTTTGCCACTGCTTCTGATTTGACCTCTGGCCCCTTCAGGACCGCGCTGATAACTCGCGGAGGAGTCTGGCCAGACGCCTGTTGAGTAGGCACTGATAGTCTCATTACAGGTGTACCGTGGGCTATTGAAACGGGGGTAAGTGCTCTCACAGCCAGCGGGGTTCCAACAATGTTAATGCTTCCGGACCCAGTCAGATTTGACTTTGTCTGCAGCTGACACTGTGCAAGTTGTGTAGCTGGGATGGTGATAATTTTGGCAGGCTGCATGGTGATTTTGTCTCCGTTTTCAGAAGAGGCTGGCATCACAGTAGGGATCGTCTGAATAACTACCTTGGGAGAGGTTGCTGTTGTTGGACTAGTGCTGGTTATTAACGGTGCACCTGCATTAACTGACTGAACTGCCACAGTTGAGATTTTCTGACCCAACGATGTCATTACAACAGGTACTTGCATTGCCACACGAACTGTCCTAGTAAATTCAAAAAAAGTTGATTTAATGTTAAAGTAGACAATAGGTCTCTTGAGCAAAAAGATGAATGCAAACCTGTAATGTACAAAACTAAGGTTCCCAAATTTTACAGGTGTACTGACAATTTAGAATATATGAAATATTGTGAAACAGATCTTAAAAACAAATGCCCACGTTAAGTTCCATCTACAAAACCATAAAAACAATTCGAGTTAGTTGAGACCTCTACTTTAACAGTAACAATAAAATACATTTAAAAGATCAAACACTCTTCAAAGTCTTGACGACAGTGGATTTTTAGACTGCTGACATTAAAAAAGGTATATAGTTTCCTTCACTGACCTTGGAGCTGCTGTTGCTGACACAGACGCAGTAGTAGTAGGAGACCTGGATGGAGGATCATGACCAGGGGAAGTGATGTTTACAACTCTAGCTACACCCTTCTCTGCCCTGGAGCAGTTCAGAGATGAGTTTTTCCCACCACGAACAGAGGTTGCTGCTTTCAGGAGACTCTCTGCAGACAGTGACACTCGTTCTAAGGATTTTTCATCAGTAGCTGCTGCTAAATCTTCATTACAAGTTTCACTTTTGTCGTCATCTATGACCACTATGTTTTTGGGCATATCCTTGAACTGATATACAAGCCTCTGTCCTTCAACCTTTGCAAGAATACCCCTTTGGTAATAGTATCTGTAACAGAAACAGTACTAAATGAAGCAAGTGTATTACTACATCTTTTGCGTCCCCCCTGCCCCGCCCCAAAACACCATGTGGAATGGACACTAACAGAAACATTCTCTTACTCCCGTTAGACATGAGAAGGAGCTCTTGTTGGCTGGGGATTGTTCAAAAGGCTAAGAACTTGGATAAGAATGAAGTTGGAACCTGGTGCCACACTTCCTTTAACCTTTAGGTTTATAAAATAGCTACAAGTTCTCTTTCTTAAAGGAAGTAATTCAACCTAAATACCAAACACTTTACTGTATCTTATGACATCAGTAAAAATTCAACTGTGATTTACACAGGTTATAAAAACAATCTGACGTTATGTAGAAAAATTACTCAAGTGGTACTTAGTAGAGATAAATGTGGGATATGTGAATACTGTCATATAAACAATGTGTCCATTTACAAACATCCCTAATTAGAAGAAGCCATGTACACTGCAAAGTTTTGTGGGTTTCTCAAAATTTCATATTAAGATAAATCCATTATAACAAATTCATAGGAACTAAAAAGCTGTATTAGAAACTGTATTTCATTTGGGTTTAATTTCCTTAAAGGTCTTCAACTTCTCTTATTAAGGAACAGTCCTAAGTGCAAAAGCACATTTTTCTGCAAAAATGGGTTTCCAGTGATGGCTGAAATTTTAGACGTCTAGACCAAAATCTTTCTCTCCATCTACCTCCAAACCTAAGAAACTCCTCTAGAATATCCCCCCAAATTAGAAGTTATAAAAAGGGGTTTTTAGAGCTTCTTTTTAAACAACTAATAGATAATACAGAAATATGTAGGTTTTATTTGAAAATTCATTCTCTTGTGTACCTACCTCAGAGCTCGTCCCATAGTTTCATAGTTCATATCTGGCTTGTTCTTATGCTTTCCCCAAAGTTTAGAGACAGCCTTTGAATCCACAAGCTTGAATATGCCTTTTTCTCTCTGAGTCCACTTAATATACCGAGGACAAGTATTTTTATCTTGAAGTAGATCTAAAAGAAACTCCCACAAATAGGTTGTGTTTCCTTTGAAAAAATGATAAGACACTGGTTAAAAATTCATTAATATAAGGCAAATATTTAGGGGCACTTAAGTGGCTCAGTCGGTTAAGCGTCCAGCTCTTGTTCTCTGCTCAGGTCATGATCTCAGGGTCACGAGATCGAGTCCCACGTTGGCCTCTGCGCTGGGTATGGAGCCTGCCTAAGATACTCTCTCTCCCCCTCTCCATCTTTGCCTCCCCCCGACCTCCACTCACACCCTCGATCAAAAAAAAAAAAAAAAGGCAAGTATTTAATTATGCTGGACAAAAATTCATTAACTACTGGTAAAACAAATGTCCCAAGAGTCTGTCATTAAGTACTTGACTATATGCGCAATCATTTATACAGTGTCAAATTGTGTTGCCTAGTAAATTATATATACACTGTATTTCATTTTAATCCTAAATATACTTGTTTGCTAGTTTTCAAAAATAATATCCTATTTATGTTTACAGTTATGATACTAATGTAACAGAGAGGTCCTGGATTTTATACTATTATACACCCTATCCTAAATTTTGAGTTCAGTAAAGGCAAGGCAAAGGCATAATGCATAGCACAAAGTGAACCTGAATTAAACAGAATCCAATTTATTAATTTACACAGATCTATACCATGAATAAATTTATTTGCACCAGTATGTTTATTATATGATCAGCCCCAATTCTATGATCAAAATTCATCAAAAGGCACTTACTTGTTGAAAAGGCAAGCAATACACAGTGAAATCTGCAAATCTTCTAAGATTTTATCTTTTTTACGTAATCTCCACACCCAACACAGGGCTGGAACCCACAACCCCGAGATCAAGAGTTGCATGCTCCACCGACTGAGACAGCCAGGCACCGTGAAACTTATTTTTCTTTGATTGACCTTTATGCAGGAACTCTGAAGTACATGTCTTATAAAGTACAAATTACCCACGACCCCTTAAACATTATCTTTTCATTATCCTCTGGATTACTAGTCAATTTTCAATCAATGAGACCTACCTTCCTCTAAAAACAGGTTTTTTTTTTTAATTGCTAATCTCTTACTACTGACCATACCCAGTACAGTGAAGACAAGCAATGTATTAGGATTTCATTATATATGGACAGTTGAGTAAATACATTTGTGCTTCAGTATTAACTCCTTAAACAAACACTAAAAAGTAACATGGCAATTCCTTTAACTAGTCAAGTATTCATCAAATACTAACTATGTAACATTTGATCACGTGACTAGCAAAATTTGAAAATGAGCTATTTCTGCAGAGTAACATAACTATTCATCATACACTATGCTCCTTAAGTGTAGCTGAGGATACAGAAGAGCATTTAAAACTTGGTCCCTGCTTCAAGGAATTTACAATTTAGTTGGGAAGGGAAAAGTAAATGACAAGTTAATACAAAAAAGAAGTAACAGTTTGTGAAGCAACACAAGATCACAAGGCAATGCATAATAATATTCCAAATGAATGACAGAAAATGTCTGAGATTTCAGGAATAAAAATAAAGTGGATTGGTAAGACAGAAGACTTGGAAGATGACTAAGATTTGCATAGAGGAAAAGGAGGGAATCTGGGATTCAGATAAGGAACTTAATCTCCAAAAGAAGAAAGCATGAGTTTTTTTTTCTTTCCCTTTGAAGAGTGGAGGATGGGCAAGTAGTGGACAGTAGTTATGAGGAGATCAGGCTTTTCAGAATGCTGTTTTTCTTTTATTCCCTTCATAAAGCCTCTAAGGGCCAAAGATTCTTAAATTGATCAAAGAACAGAAAAGAACCCCGAGAAGGAGAAAATTAGAATACACACACCACCGAGTCACCAGGTCATCTCTAGGCTCCTGCTCACCATCCCTTTACTATCATCAAATCTAGATCCAAATTACAGGCTTCATGAGAAGAACCTCTAAGGGTAGGAGGCTTCCAAACTAAGCTACTGCTACTCAATCTAAATCCTGATGCTCTTCCTCGGGCATTTCATTTTCATTCTGGAATTATCTGAAAATTCAGTAAATTTGTTAACCCATAGTTGAGACCAGTGTGCATCTTTTAACCTAAAAAGGTTAACCTTCAACTTTACAGTGTTCTATCTGCGTCTCTGAAATCCCACTGCATCAGCATCAATACTTTGTAAAAACTCTTACTAGTAAACCATATGTAACTTTCAACTACATTAAGATATGTACTTGGGACATTTTTGTGATCAAGAGATTACCAGGCCCTATGAGTGGACATAGGAAAAGTGATCTTATTGTGGAAGAAACTTCTGAATAATATAAACAATGCCTTATAACACATAGTAGGGATTTGAATGCATCCATGTTTGTGGAATGAGACTCAACATCATTCCTCAGGTCGTCTTTGGATACTCACTCCATCCCAGTTCCCATCAAGTTAAAACTGAAAAGTTCTAAATCTCACTTTAAGGAAAACATTCAGAAAGGGAAGCCATCTTTATCACAGACATTATCAGCATTTTGTAGAAGAAATACTTTATTTTTTTTTTTTAAGATTTTAAAGTACTTCCTACACTCAGCGTGAGGCTTGAACTTACAACCTCATGACAAGAGTCAGAGGCTCTACCAACTGAGGCAGCCAGGTGCCTCCGACTGGATTTTTAATCTTTAATCTTCATATTCAACACTTTGCCTCAAGTTTGATAATAAAAGACTGAAACCTTAATAAAAGGTGATTTTGATTGTTAAAAACAGGTCATCACAAAATTTTTCTCCAGTGTTAAGCATCAGGTCTTTGAATACAAGAGACCACTGATAATGGGAATTATTTAAAAAACAGTAATAACTGTATTTACAGTTTAGCTTTGTAATTTTTAAAGTTTTCAACATAAAAGACAAAACCTAAGATGTTAGAAATGTAAAATGACCAAAGACAGACAAAGAAATAAAAGTATCCTAAATCTGTCCCAAATTCAATTTCTCAGTTCCTGAATAAATAACAGTTCAATGTAACTACATTTTTTGGTCTAAATTTCTTAGACTTACTGGAGAAAAATTTTTTTACTAGAGATTTAATTTTTGCTCTATTTAAAATTTGTCATATGACAGCAGAAAATAAATAAATAAAATTAGATATAAGACCACCTGTTGAAGATGGAATAAATTTTTTAATATATTAATCCAAAATGTATCCAACTATTAAATATTGGTCTGAAAACATTCATGAAAGTGATAAATTCTGGTTATCAGATTATCAGAACACACCTAAAACCATGATTAAAATGTTACCTGAAGTCATCTAACAAGAGCGCAGAATGTAGGAGGCGTCTCATTAATTTTTGTTTTTAATGAAAGTATACAAATTCTAAAGCAAAAATAGGGTTTTTGTTCTGACCTGACACGACTGAAATTGGTTGACTGGGAAATTAAATTCAACTTGCCTTGAGAATTCTTGCATTCTATCAGTTAAGAAATTATGTATCAGAAATAAGTCTTCGTTATAAAGCCACCCCTTCAGTTCTAAGTGGCTTTATATGAGGATGAGTACTGTTACACATACATACCTCCCCTAAGAACAATGGCTCTTAAGAAGGCTGTGCATCAGACTGCACTTTTTAGATGACCTTTTCCAAACACAAATGCCTACTGCCTTTTACTCCCCCTTTAGCCTCTATCTATGGCTATAGAATCTCAGTGGGGTACGAACTGGGGAAAAAAAACTCCCCAGGCGATGCTCATATAACCCTGATTAAGACCTACTACCAAAGACAGTACTTCCACCTGTACGTGTCCTAGGACTCATTTTCTTACAAATGCAAAAATGTCAACTGAAAAAAAAAAAGTCATCTCACCTGCAAAACAGCCCTCCCCAAATTACCTTTTCCTTCTCTGGGTTTCTTCTTTATACCTAACTCAGGAGACCCATTGGAGATTGGTGATTGCTGGGTCTTTGGTTTACGGCCAACTGAAAAAAAGTAAGATTGAAACCATACATTGAAAACAGGAAAAATAACAGAAGCATGATTAGCAGATGCTTTGATAACACATTATTCATGAAACTGGACACTAATTTGTGGATTAATATACTGAGTGTATATAAAAAGCTGCATTTAAAAGGAGCAATAAAAGCACTTCTGCAATTTCAGATTACAGCAGTTAGTTGGCAGTAATTTCAGTGTATATAGCAAGTCAGGTACTACCCAACCTATTATTTACTCAGTCAGAGTCTCAATTTGCTAACCTCTTCCAATAATGCAGCAGTGGAAACAAATTCTAGTACAAACTTTTTTCTTTTCTGTTCTATAGGACTGTTAGAAAAAACTTTACCTACCTATTGCAGAGGATCTGATAATCTGCGAAGCCCTTTGAGCTCAAATGAGGAAAAGTAAAAAATATTATTTTAAACACTCTACTGCTCTGAGCCAATCCATTCACCAGAATTTAAGCATAAGTGTTCAAATTTCCCCACCTCAATGTGCAGGTACATCATAAGGATAAAAAAAAAATCTTTGTTAATTATTTCGTATGTCTAGTAAGTGTGCCCTTCTTTTAGCTTCTCTTCACTTCCATCAAAAGGTGCCTCAGGCAGACTAGCATCCACAATGAACAGAAAAGCAAGAGCTATACTTACACTAAAAAAGGCATAAGGCTGAAATGCATTGTTTTCAATTCTCAGCACTGATAAAAGAATGCTGGCAGATGAGGGGAAGCCTCCAGAAAGGCTGGGAAGTCAAGTATATTATAATTTGCAGATTAAATATATTATTAATAATTTGGTGATTGTCATACATCTGGGATTTCTGATGTCACTCTGGTCTTCATTAGCAAGGATTATTTAGAGCTAAATAAAGACTTAAAAATCAAAGTGTTTTAATTTATTGCAAAATACAGAGCTATTATATTCTAGGATTTCATTATGGTAACTAATCAGTAAGATGTGTGTTCTGGCAAAAATTAAAAGGGAAAGTTCGCTGGTCTCACTAGAACAGAGATTAATCTCAATTTAAATAATATTTAGAATACAAATCAGTAATAAGACTCAAACAAAACAAAAAAAACCCCAACTTCCTTCATCGAAATGTTAGCCCAAAAAGGCTTAATTTATTTTCATATAAAGCAGTATTTCCCAAATCATTCTTCTTAATAGTTTATTCATCGGTCAGAAACAATGTTCTACAGTCAAATTAACTTTTAGAACACTGCATGTTACCTTCTCTTGCAGATTCACAACACACATTAGAATGTTAGAAGCTCTGGAAATAAAAAGAAGGCTCTGCTATTCAAAAATAACCTACCTTAGTATGTCCCAAATGAACTTAAGCATATATATTTATGCATTATATATAATTTTTAAATGGTCATTAAGATCATCTATTTTCAAATATATAAAATTAGTATTAAATTGGCAAATTATTTCCTGGTTTATATCGTACCACATAGGCAGATCAACCTATTCATCTAGAGGTCTTGGTTCCCAGCTATTCATGGTCTTTTCCATCTTTTTTTTTTTTTTTAAAGATTTTATTTATTTATTTGAGAGAGAGAGAGAGAGAATGAGAGACAGAGAGCACGAGAGGGGAGAGGGTCAGAGGGAGAAGCAGACTCTCCACTGAGCGGGGAGCCCGATGCGGGACTCAATCCCGGGACTCCAGGATCATTCCATCTTCTTTTAAATCTAAAAATTAGGGCACATGGGTGGGTCATTCGGTTAGTGTCTGACTCTTGATTATGGCCAGGGTCCTGATCTCATGGTCGTGAGATCGAGCCCTGCGTTGGGTGGGCATAGAGTCTGCTTGAGATTCTTTCTCCCTCTTCCTCTGCACTACCCCCTCCTTCCCGGCCCCTGCTTGTGTGTGCGTGCGCAAGCATGCGCGTGCGCCCTCTCCCTCTCCCTAAAAAATAAAATAAAAATAAATCTAAACATTTTGTAAGTATTTGGTAATAGCTCCTATCAAATACCACCAGCCAAAGGCTACAGTGGGGAAGTGGGTAAACATGGCTTTTTATATGTATGCCTTTTGTTTTTAAACATTGAAACAGCAGGAAGTTAATTCTTCCTTCTAATTCTCTCATTCATACCTCTTGCAACATACACGTAATCTATCACATGAGGGAAGGCACTCAATCTTATTCTTCACTGTGTCCCTCACAGTAATGAGTACAGACACATCAACATCACAGCAATTTGAAATAACTCTAATAAATGAAAGGAAATACCATTATGTCTTTTTCTTTTTTTTTAAAGATTTTATTTATTTATTTGACAGAGAGAGAGAGAGCGAGAGAGGGAACACAGCAGGGGGAGTGGAAGAGGGAGAAGCAGGCCTTCCGCGGAGCAGGGAGCCCGATGCGGGGCTTGATCCCAGGACCCTGGGATCATGACCTGAGCCGAAGGCAGACGCATAACGACTGAGCCACCCAGGCGCCCCAAATACCATTATTTCTAACACAAGTTTTCTTATTTTTGCCTTGATTTTTTTCCTACTCTAAAATGTAAAGAAAGAGATACAGAAGAAAGTGGAATTAGGTGAGTACCATTTATACAGAATTTCATTTCTTTCAAGTTTTACCTCTGATTCAAACAAGAAAAGGACCCACTTGCTGCCCAACTCCTAGGGATGTTGAGGATATGTGGGGCCTTGGGCCTCACCCATCAGGATCAGGTGAGCAGAAGTTTCAGCAGCAGTCAAATAAATAGTAAGTGGAAATGCTCTTTACCCACTGGTGAGGTTATTCCACTTAAAATCCTTATTGGCAATCTTGGTGTTTTAAGACAGAAGGTATACGGAACAAAAGAGTATTGGGCTTTTTATTTTAAGGCCCACAAAAGAGTGGGAGATTAAAAATAGAGAAAATAAAAAAATTAAATGTTTTTAAAAAAATAACCAAGTACCTAAAAGGATCAGAAAGCAGACAAACAAGTAGTGAACCTCTAATCTTCCTTCTGCTTGTCCAACATTTGTTATCATTCCATTTTCAGATAACTTTCTTTAGAGCTTAAATACTAACTCCTTTAAAACAGTATGAACATGTTAACACAAAATTAAAATCTCAATTTGTTGGTTCTCTGAGAATACCTAGGTAAAGATAACATCAATCATAAATCTACAGCATATATTTCCTATGTCCCTTGATGGGGGGAGAAAAAAAACAAGAAAAAATTTCTCCCACTTGTCCAGAAATTTATAAATATACTCTACCTTTTTTCTTTTTCATCGGTTCATGGCTATCTGGTGATGTCGGAATAGGAGAGGTATCCATTGGTTCCGATTCTTCAGTTGACACCTCCACTACAGTTTCTGTAATGACATCTGGCCTCATAGCAGCATGGATAAATTCTGGAGTTGATACACAAGGAGGGACAAACACTTCCACTATAAAAAAAAGTCAAAAAATTAAAATTTCCCACCCCCATTAATACTTCTTCATGCGGACAATTCAATATTTAGTAGAGGTGAAGTTTGTTAACAATTCATCAAAGCAGGGTAAGAGCCTAAAGTTAATTTGCTGAATACGCAATACAATCTAAAGTACGTAAGGAAATAAATGCAAAGAAAATTAGCTTGAAGGAAATGTTAATCCTGTAGGTAAGGTGGGGACCATGAGGAATTACACCCCCCTTCTTCACATTTTTTACACACTTTCAAGCTCACTGTAGAAGACTTTGAATTATTTTGACAATTGGGAAAACATAATGAAAATAAGACAATAGAATAATAGTGACTTCCTCAGTAATTACTTTCCTTCCTGGTACCCATCAATATTCTCTAACTAGGTAATATATGTACATGGTATAAAATTTAGAACATTTAATAAATGTGTGTGTCTTCAGTGAAAAGAAAGCACTTAACAGATCATTTTGAAATATGAAGAAAAGGGAAACCTGCTCATTATAGCCCAATGAATATCATCTTTCAATATTTAAAATTTTATTTAATGTAACAGTCCTGATGTTTTGGGTCACTAAAACAGAAATAGAAACTGCCATTTGGTATTCTTTATATACAATAATGTTGCTCCAGCTTCCTTCCAATGTGCATGAATAATCAGAATATGACATTTCTATTTCAATTAAGGGACAGCTAATAATACTATTGTGGATTAATACACTGACCAATATGCCCTAATTTTCTTCTCATATCCCTGAATAATACATGAATAATACTATTCTAATTAAAAAAAGTACAGCTGCTCTTGGTATTTATAAATCCCTATAAGTAGGAGGGCTAATATTATTGTATTAAGTCAAATTAACACTTGGACATTAGAGTGCAAAATGACTCTCAAAGGCAATCTTAAAGAAAAAAAAAGGGGGGAACCAAAAGAAAAGGAAACTCCCAGCCTGAGGGAGTATGAGGAAATGGTAGAAGCTATCTCCTCTCTCCACCATGGAAGGTTCTCTGGAGCTACTGCCTATTTATCTCAGTCGGTTAAGCGGCTGCCTTCGGCTCAGGTCATGATTTCAGGGTGTGGGACCTAACCCTCTCCTTCCCACTTGTGCTCTCTCTTGCTCTCTCGCTCTCTCTCAAATAAATAAAATCTTAAAAAAAAAAAAAGGCAACACCTGGTGTTTCTTATAAATAAGTAAGTAAATAAAGGATAGAAAGTAGTCATGGGCAGCAAATCCCCCAACCCCATCTGCCATTCCCTTAAGGACTACAAAGGTTTATAATTTACCCAGAGTTAAGCAAATAAGACATAACAATATAAATAGCAATTTAACAAATATTTATCTGTCTATAGTGGGCATTTTCTGTTATCTTTATTATAAAAAATTAATTATTTTAAGACTAGGGAACTTTGACAAATAAGGATCAAGTATTGCTGTCACAGGTATTCATGCATAATAAACCTTGAGAACAACAATAATCCTCATGTATTTAAGAAGAAACTTATTTTAAATATGCAAAGTGATAGGACATGTTTAATATAAAAAAGAACAATTCACATACCAGGACTTCTTGAATCCCTTAAGCAGGTAGGAGATTCCATATGAAGCAGGGCTTCAGCAGCTTCAATTGTCTTATCTGTACAGTGTGCATTACTGCTATGAACTGATGCTTCCACTGGGGGGAAATAAGTTCTACTCAATTAAAAATGCACAGAATACATTACTAAATTAAAACATATTACTCTATAAGAAACAAATTAACTCATGTGAATAACTCTAAGTCACTGATACATATTAGTCCATATAAATTATTTACAGAAATAATTTAAAAAACCATCTAGTATGTACACTCTGCAAAACAAACATTGATTATAAAGCAACTATTGAGAATGATTAGAAATTACTGAGAAATTTCTGAATCTTATCCAAAGGAAAACAAAGACCCTTGAAATTTGAACCCTGTATCAATTTCAGGCAAAACTAACTTGGAGGTGGGGCGGGGGGAGGATGGCTGTAGATTAACAATCCTAGGAGGTCAATTATGTGTCTTGATATACAGCCACTAATATCAAGGGCAATACCTTGCAGAATCAGTCAAGAAACATGCATTTCCAAGTTAGTTTAATGAATTAGGTTCTTACAGACCCTCCTAGGTGTGTGGACTAGCATAGCACCAGATACCCAGGAACTCTATTCCCAGTAACCTTGTCTCTTCAAGATTTTACTGAACTTTTCTGTGTTTTACCCAATAAATTTGTTTTTAAAGTTTCTATGTTTGTTTGTTTTCCCATGAAGTCTTTTCTAATTCTGCCACCTTCTGTAACTCTCTTTTAGCACTTACTTTATGCTTTGCTGACTGAATTACTTGTGAAAAGTAAAGTATACAGCAATCGTTTGGCTTTTCCAGTCCAACAGCTTGAGTCCTAGTCTCTGCTACTTATTTGTTACCCTAGACCAGCAATTTAATTTCTTGTAAGGAAACTTGATTTCCTTTTTTACAAAACAGGTGTATTACCTCAGATAGTTGTGAGAATTAAGTAAGGTGATACCCATAAAAAACATGTACAATGCCTGGCATATGGGTAAGAATTCAATAAATGGTGATAATTTCTTTTTTTTTTTTTAAGATTTTATTTATTTATTCAGAAGAGACAGAGAGAGAGAGGCAGAGGGAGAAGCAGGCTCCTTGCTGAGCAGGGAGCCCGATGCAGGACTCGATCCCAGGAAGCTGGGATCATGACCTGAGGTGAAGGCAGACGCTTAACCATCTGAGCCACCCAGGCGCCCAATTTCTTTTTTTTTTTAAGATTTTATTTATTTATTTGACAGAGAGAGACACAGCGAGAGAGGGAACACAAGCAGGGGGAGTGGGAGAGGGAGAAGCAGGCTTCCCGCTGAGCAGGGAGCCCAATGTGGGGCTCAATTCCAGGACCCTGGGACCATGACCTGAGCCAAAGGCAGACGCTTAATGACTGAGCCACCCAGGTGCCCCAAATGGTAATAATTTCTTATCACTACTGTAAGATTATAAGTTCCTTGAGGTCAGGGGGGCTATCTTAATTCATCTTTGTATCTGCTATAATTCCCAATATAGATTTTTAATACAACAGGCATGCAAGTATTTCTTTTATATATTAAAGTTGAGGATAACCCACAGACCTTATAGGAAAATTGGCCATTCAAGCACAAACTTGTATTAATAATATATTAATTTCACATCCTAACTTAAAAATATTGAACATTCTACTTGGTTCTGAAACATGAATATATAACAGTTTCTAACTGGATAGATTTTTCTCAAGATGTCCTCTAAAAAGACTAAAAGGAAGTATTTGTATAAATTCCATAAGCTGTATTACAAATTCAGAAGTTCTACACACTAAAGATAGGAATCTTTTAAAATTGTTTCCAGGAAACTTTTAATTGAAAAAAAAATTCACTTAATCTCAAAATTCACCAAATGCTAAAGCCTTAGCCTTAAACAGCAGTCATTTGGAGAGCATTTATTAAAAAAAAAAAAAAAAAAAAAAAAATCCAGCGACTGTTTTACCACCTGTTGCACATCATCCACACTCTCAACCAAGGTACTGGGTCTCTCCAGTTGCTCTTTCCATTTATGGAAATCTGCTCAAAGCTAAACAGTTCCAGAGAGGCAGCCAAACCTCTAAGTAAATCTATCTTTAGGTGACCCTGCTTACTCTTATCTGCAGCTTCACTGAAGCAAAGGATTCAGTCAGTCCTTCTAGCTCAACTTTAAGAAACTTAGTAAGTATAAAATATATTACCATTCTCAAGTAATTTTTTCAAAGTGCCTTCCCACAATACCCACATATACTAAAGAACCTTGGAAAGCAAATTCTCAGGTTTTTAAGGAACTTCATTCTCTTTAAAGTCTACTTGTGTTACAATTTAGGTGTTGTCTTAGGTGCTATTAATAAACTACCCTGGGTAAACTAATTCCTTATGTAATTATATTAAGACATACCCTAAAAACCTTACCATATTAAAATCAGAGCTTCAAAGACTTGATAACACAGCAATAGAATTTTACCCAATTTTTTAATGTTTTCAGTTACAAACAAAATGAAACGTGCCTAATTACAAATAATGCTGCCCTTTTTATGTAGTTTGAGGCACATTTTTAAAACCATGATTTCATGTTAGTTATGTCAGTGGAAACTATTTTTCTTTTTTTAAAGATTTTATTTATTTGACAGACACAGCGAGAGAGGGAACACAAGCAGGGGGAGTGGGAGAGGGTAAAGCAGGCTTCCCACAGAACAGGGAGCCCGATGCGGGGCTCGATCCCAGGACCCTGGACCTGAGCCTAAGACAGATGCTTAATGACTGACCCACTCAGGTGCCCCGGAAATTATTTCTTAAAAGTATATTTTCTTGCTCATATTTCTGACCTCAAACTCCTCTTTCTCCCAAATTCAACATATTATTTCCCAGGACTGTTTTACATTTACAGAGTAAAACAAAACACATACAAACTTAAGAATAACATTTATTAATTCATATTTTAAATTTAGGATGAGAATATCAAAAATGCATACGTTTTCTGTGAATTATCAATCAGGAGATCTAATGATCTATGTACAGTCAACATTTGGTTGTTGAGCATTTACCATATGTCAGACCCTCTGTTAGAAATCCGAGAGACAAATGTGAATAGATCTCCAGCCTTGTGAAGCTTATACTAATAGTTCAGAAACATAAATGATAGTATCAAAAACATAAATGGAAGTAAAACATTTCAAAACTAAAAAAAGGTATAAAGTAAAGTTATTCTGTAAGCTAACAGCTTAAGTGGAGCACTGATTTCTTTTTTTAATGCTTACTAATTTTACTTTTTGTCATTTTTATTAACTAAAATAACTCAAAGCACGTGCAAATACCTAAGAGCTCATACTTAGATCAATTTTTACAACAGCGTACCTATCAGTTTCCAAGACTACTTCACCATTTTGAAAAAGCTCTCTTTTTTCTTTTGTTGATATAATTTTTGATAAAAGAAATTTAAGAAATATTTCTTATTCAAGTTTCTGTAGTTTTTGAAAACTTTTCAATTCATTTGGTTCAGTTCAGTAATTCAAATACAATTTAAACAAGAATTATGCACAATTTTTAAGGATAAACATGAGTTTAACAGTGTTGTACAATATAAGTAAGCAAATAAGCAAACTACAAGGGCTGAAAACTCCTATCTCTTACTTAAAATTTGATTTATTGGTATCTTTCTAGACATGTGTATGAAATTAATGGGACCAAAAAAAAACAACTCATTTTAAAAATAGAAACAATGAAGCCCAAAAGTAATCTGACAGGTATCATTTTCTACTTAAGACTAGCACTTGGTGTTGCTAGTCAATCCCTCTTGAAGAAATAAACATATCAAACAAATTTCAAAACAATTTTAACTTTAATCATAGTGCCAAAATCAAATTTGCTTATGCCCTCCCTTTACTATTGGTAGGAGTCTTCTTGTTCCATTTCCAGCTTTCTAATCAACTGGTGTTTGTATGGTAGACTATTCCAGACTCACTCAACAGCTGTTACAAAATACCAAACTTGGTAATTAAGTCTGACAAGAGACATACCTCTCAGCTTTGCAGAAGCGAATGCTGGCAATGGATCTAGCTCATAACAAAGTTCTTAAAGTCAAAACTAAAAATTAATAGCAATTTAATTTGAGAGCAATGGAAAAAATTAGAAAACACTTCCTTAAATGATAGTAGTATGCCCCTACAAGCAAGACCATAAACTAGTAATACAAGGTCATCACTCAACCAGGCACCTGACTTACCTCAGCTTATCTTCTAATGCCCCAAGGCATAATAGGTAAGTGAAAAATACAAATGAATGCAATAAAAAGGGGGAAAAGGTAAAAGTCTGGGACACTCCATCTTTTCTTATTCCTCTTTGACTTTCTAATCAACAGTTAAATTTAAAAGTTTAGAAGAGAAAAAGAACTAAAATTTTCTAAAATAGAGCTGCCTGATGAAAATATAATGTGAGCCACATAATTTTTAAATTTCCAAAAGCCAGATTTTAAAAAGTGGAAACTGAAATTAATGCCTTTCATTTAACCCAGTATATTAAAAATATTGTCATTTCAACATGTAATCAATATCAAAGTTTTCCACAGCTTCAGTTTTTATGTTTAAATTAAAATTTTAAAAAATTAAAAATTCAGTTTCTCAGCCACTCAGCAGCCACATATGGCTAAATGCCTATGGTACTGAAAAATGCAGAGTAAATAAAACTGTAATACAGCTACTCTCAAACTTTTTTGGTCAAAGGCAACTTTCATGCTCAAATTATTGAGAACCACAAGAGATTTTGTTTATATAAGTCCTTTTTTAAATTTTATTCTATTTGAAACTGAAATTAAGAGGACATTAAAGTATTTATCAATTCATTTAAAGTAATAAACCCAGTACTTCTAAGTAGTATTTTAATGAAAAATAGCTTTTCTACAACAAAAAATTAGTGAGTAGCTTTCTTGTACATTTTAGTAAATCTTTTTAATACACGGTAGAAAGCGGCTGGATTTATTTAATTCTTCATTAAATTTGTTGTAGTATCAAGTCAGGTAAGCCCCTAGAAAACTCTGAACACTTGTGGAAGTGAAAAGGCAAATAATGTCTTAGAATTAATTATGAAAACAAT